CGAATTTGCAAATGTTGTATTAATTTGTAGTTACGCACGGGAAAATGCATGCACCACTTTTGGCCCAATTGTGCTGCATTTACCCCATAGATATCTTATATCAGATATCTATGATTTACCCGCGCGTAATACAAATTACTACAAAATTTGCAAATTTCGCAGGGCTATATTTTCCGCATTTTACAACATTTCGGGGGCAAACTTTGTAATTTTACTAATTTTAACATGCTCTTTCTAGCTGTGTGGATTTTGTTTCAAAATTTAGTCTGTATAGCCAGCTGCCGATCATCTATTCGTTATATCGAGTGTATAGATTCCCAGTTAAATCCCCAAATCCTAAATTTAACCAGGACGTTCTGGATCCAGATTCTGGGTTACATTAACCAGACTATTTTTGGAAGTGAGATAAAATAACCATAATAAGCTAATCCAAATATTGTTTTTTCTAAGTTAACCAGGAAAATTTTAACCAGAGTGCAAAGGCGATAGATTAATGAACATTTGCATAATGGACTAAATTTTGACCTAAACAAATCTAGACAAAAATTTCATCAGCTTGAAAGAGCATCACAAAATTAGTAATATTCCAAAGTTTCATTGGGAAATGTTGTAAAATGCGGATAATATAGCCTTGCGAAATTTGCCGTTTTTCAGTCATTTTGTATTACAAACGGGAAATTGACAGCCCCAAAGGGTATTGGGCGCGTAATGCAAAATGACTGAAAAACGGCAAACTTTACGCGCAAACGTTCGCTTTTAATCAGAGCTGCTAAATGCAATGTTCATTACACGCATCATTATGTTACTGATATGTTAATTATATTTTCTGAATCAGCATTCCTATGTTGTGAGATGCACCATAAATTATGTAATACACATGCAGTGTGTACATAATATTTTGCTGGAAACTTTTCTTGCCGAAATATTGCATTTTATAAAACTTTGTTACTATGAGTTTAATTCTGCATGGTTGGTTAAGCCCGCCGCACACGAGAGCAACTTGCTGAGCTAACCGCCTCGCGAGGCGATTAGTTCAGCAAGTAGCTCTCGTGTGCGGATCGATAGTTTTCGTGAGGATTTGACCTCTCGAGGCCTTGAGAAAAATATCTATCGTGTTTGTTATTTTTCGCCTCGCGATGAAAAAATCTCATCGTCTGCGGACTGCGGATGTTGTGAGCTAAGAACTGAGCTGTTTGAATCAATTAGCCAATGACAAACCATGGTTTCTTCATGTGACTTGGAACAAAATGGAGGAATATGCAAATGTTTTGTCATTTATGTTGTTGTTGAGTAGTTTTCCCAACGTGTGCGGTGAAAATGAGCTAGCTGCCACGCGAGGCGGTTAGCTCAGCAAGTTGCTCTCGTGTGCGGCGGGCTTTAATTCCGTATTTTTAGCCTGGTCTCCATATGGTCGTAACGATCGTAAAGATTGAGACACGATCTTTCTCATCAGCCGAAATACAACATTTTAAAACTGAAATTACCTGGAGTGATTATAACTAGGGAATACTTATGATTTATATGTGGTTTATATATAGGTATAATGAAGTTTAATATGTTGAAATAACTTTCCAAGTGCAGTAGTTTTGATGACAGATTGGCATTTCCATAAGGCAAATAGAGTCTTCTTTGACATATTACTTCATTAACCACAATTTATTGCGTTGCATAAATTGCATATTATAAACTATTCTAAACTGGTCGTTGAGAAAGATCGTGGCTCTACTTTT